CAGATAACTGGTTCTGATTGTTTCCTCTGCCAAAGAGCCCCAGTTGGAATCAATCCAATGATGGGATCTGATGACCAGATCTGATAAAGGGGCCAGGTAAGAACCTGAGCCGCCTTGGGGACAGGCCGTGAATCTCAAAGCAGACACACATTCTCCATTAGTGACCTCCAAGGAGGCCAATTTCAGCAGAATCATTAAAAGTTGATGATTCTGCAAATGTCTTTTTGTCCTCTGGGCTGTGGATGGTGGGGGAAGCAGGGAAGTGTAGTTTTCCTCTGAAATGGAATGAGGAGGTAGGGAAAGAAGGGCAGTAAGATAATCCCACACTTAACCTTAGACTGACCATGAAATTCAACTTCTAAGAATTTCAAGAGACATTCTGGAGGAAGGGAGAGCTCCAGTAACCATGGAAATATTTCAAGGTCAGGAGGTGGGGAAAAGAGGTCAAGGATTACATACAGAATAAGTCAGAAAGTGTACAGAAGACTGCGATCTAGCATTATTTTTCCCCAAAAGAATTTAACTCATCTCCCTCTTTGGTCTTTGATATTTTATGACATTGGACGGACATCACTGTGGGTCAGGCATCCTCTTATGTGTATTCAGCCTGGACTGGGCTAGTGTCCAGCATCTTCTATGAGAAGGCCCCCAGCCTCCCTTGGGGGAGAAATACAAGCTACAGAATTGCAAAAGGCCCCAGATACACATAAATAACCTGAGTGAGGTTCTGAACTCCTTCGAGTCCAAATTAGCAATGGGGCTGAGCTGGAGCCCCTGTTTCCTGATCTCCAATCAAAGGGTAAGCATTGCCCTGGCCACCCACTGCATAGATGGAAGTTGACTCATTGGGGAAAACTAGAAGTCATTTTAAAATTCTGAATAATATTTTTTTTAAATTTTCTTGAATTTTATTTTTTAAAATTTTAATCAGCACCTAATAAACGTACATACTTCTGGAGTACAGTGTGATAATTTGATACACGTATACAATATGTATTGATTAAATCAGAATAATTATCATTTTCATCTCCTTAAACATTTATCCTTCCTTTGTTTGGGGTGTCTCTTTTTAAAATATGCAATAAATAGTTGTAAACCACAGTCACCCTACTGTGCTATAGAACAATGAGGACTTGAAGTTGTGGATAATATTTCTAAATTATTTGTTAACACTAATAGCTTTAAAACATAGTGCTTAAATTTGCTGTATTTCTATAAAGGTAGGGTTTATGCTTAGTGAGTTTTGTTTGTTGAACTTTTTTCTGGTTATTTGTCATGACCCACTCTCCAACCATATAATCACCGAACCTGAGGCAAAAATGACTTATGGGCAGTTTCACATCAGAAAAATATCTTGTTATGGTTAAACAGAAAAAAAAGGTGTGTGAACTCAGACAGAAGCTCTCCTCGTGAGCTGGGAAGGGGGTGCTGTAATGTATAGGTCACTGCCATAGGACACATCTATTTCCTTGTTTCTCTTCAGTTCTGTCTTTGGGCAGCTTGGACTGTGTACAGTTCCTCTCCCAGATGAGCCCATGCTGGAAGAGCTCCAGTGGCCAGGAATGTCCCCATTCAATAAGAATGAGGTTGTTCTATCCCAATCCCCATGTCACGCGGCAGCATGGCCTCTTCCCTTTTATGGCATGAAAGGACCTCGTGTGGGGATGAGGACAACTGGAGGTCAGGCCTCAGTTTCACTCTCTGTTTACCCCAAGCCTGTGGGTCACCTTGGCAAGTCCCTTAGCTGACGGAGTCCCTATGCCACACAATCTAGCCGCTCAGCACAGGCCTGCCGTGGGGAGCTGTGCCTGGGGGTTGATGCTGCTCAGTGTGAGAGGCGCCACCTCTGCCAGAGACAGAGTTTTAGACCTTCTGTGAGGACCTGCTGACCTTTTCTCCCAGCCACAGGAACTGAGACGAGGTGGGGGGGAAGTAAAGGTCACTCTGACTAGGGGAACTTGAGTGGCTTTATAACTCTACATTTGAAGCTCCTAATATGTATCTATCATTTTGTTCCTTGCATGTTTGTGCACTTAAGCTGACAGAAGAAACTTGTTTCATTGGAGAGGAAACCAGAAGGGTCAGGGCTCCCAGGACAGAGACAGCCACATGGTCCAGTTGAGGATATCAGGTACATCTTCCCATGAAGCTGAGTAGGAGTTTAGCAGGTGTAGAGAAGGAAAAGGGTTGGGGAGAGAGAAATCGCTGTGTGAAGGTGACAAAGTTGGAGAGGGCCCAGGAATTGCCTGTGGGTCTCTGTCTCTCAGTGTGACACAAAGCCAGGATGGGAGAGCATGGGGAGATGAGGCTGTAGGGGTGGGCAGAGTGGACTGGGGGTGGCCCTACTCACCATGCCAGGGGGTCAGGCTCTGCCATCCAGTTAGGGGACTGTTGAGATGGTGAATGGCTTGAATAACAGGGGCGATAGAGGGTTAGAGGGGAGCAGGTTAAGAAATACCAAGGAGGATAAAAAAGTTAATGGGACAAAAACACAGGGACAGGTGCTCAAGTCAAATGCTATAACAAGGAGACCTTAACAAGTGACAGCTCTGGACAGACACCTGTGTAACAGTCCCATGTGGGGGTTCCAGGTCAGCAGGTCTCTGCTCCACACACCCACTCAGGGGTCTATTCTCATGGCAGTCTGCCGTGTCCCGTTTCTGGCATCCCAAAAGTCTCTACTTGGGGCCACCCTAGGTGTCAGGAAGGAGGTCAAGGACATATAAAAGAGCTCCCGGGAGGCTTCACAGCCCAGGACTGCTAAGGGCACTATCATGTTTTCTTCCTTCCACTGAGCATTTGATCTTATGGCCACTCCAGGCTCCAAGGGAGGCTGGGAAATGTGCTTTAACCTTGAGTGCAGAGAGAGAGAAGGCCCAGCCCCTGATAGACAGCCAGCAGTCTTCCCAATGGCTTCAGTCAAAATGGGGACATCTGAAGAGGAAAACTAGACCTCATAGTTCATCTCAGTCCCCACATGTCCAGAACTGTTTGGAATTCCCCAATCCCTTAGAGGGCAGCCTTTCACTCTGGGGTCTGCTCCTCCCCCAGGCCCCAGGGAGGGAGTCTGGAGCTGTGAATCACAAGCTGTGAGGCATATGAGAGGTTATTTCCTTGGATCAAGTATGAGCCTCTGTGCATCTAATTTTAAAGCCAAGTTCTTCTTTGATGGCATCAGGATCAATTGGGATAGGCCAGTTAAAGAAAGTGCAGTCCAGAAATAGCTTTCCCACCAGCCATACAGAAATGTTATTTATGTGTCTGTCAAAGAAGACACAGCCCAACCTGGTGATAATGAATACTTCAAATATGCTTGTCCCAAGAGAGTGTCAGGAATATTCTAGATCGCATTCAGCCTCAGCCATCTTAGCCTCATGTACAGCTCATCTGTGCAATGCTAGAAGAGGTCTTGAATATTCAAGCCTGCAGTAATTTTTAAGGGAGTTTTTGCATTTCCCTTGTACTTATAAGTGTTTGGTCTTTCCCCAAAATTCTATTACAGGTTGGAGATCGATTTGGGGTATTGGAATTTTGGTAGTAGAAGAAGGACACTTTAGGACAGCCTGGGTTAAGTCTAGATATTAATGCCAAATTGCACATTAGTTAGGGGCTTATGATCCTGAATAGTTTAACATATGATTAAGAAGTGGCTCCGTTGATAACACCACACACCTGGATTCCAAGAGAAAACTCCAATACAACACAGTCTTGAATTTGTGATTCCAAGAGAAAACTCCAATACAACACAGTCCTGACTCTTCAAGCAGCTAGACTTCATGTACCAGGAGACAGGTTACAGTTTTTTCCTAACTTTCTTTCCCTTCTTTCTCTTGTTTGGTGTGTAGTTTCTTTGTATGTAACACATGCAGAGGCCAGGAAGGGCAGGATTGTGGAAAGTCAGTTCAGGCTAGAAGTGTGACTCATCCATAGGAGAATATGAGGAGGAGGAAGTTGGGTCTAATACCTTAAAACAATCCTTTACCCTGTGCTCTGTTCCCCAAGCCTGTTCCTGACACAGGAGTTACAATCTGATGAGCAGGGCCTTCAGGTGCAATGGGGGAGTTTGCTCTATCTGGCTCACTCTGTGCCCTCACCTGGCCGGATACCCTCCTGCCCTTTTCTCCGTGAAATAATGCTCTAGAGACCTGATCAGAGAGGTAAATACACTCAGGTACAAAGGACTTCCAAGCTTTCCTGTACAACCCATCCCAGAGGGAAGTGCTTCTTAGTGCTATTCCTCAAGCTAAAGGAATCAACCTTTAAATCCACAAGTTGGGGTCTATAGTTAGCAAGTTCTCTCAGGTAAATATTGAGCAGGGAGGTTCCCATAAATCCATGAAAGCAGGCTGCATAGCTGCCAGCCTTTTCTGCTTATGCCTGAGGTCAGTCTTGGACATAATAAGCACCAGGATAATCTAGCATGAAGGCAAGTCCCAGGACACCCTTTCTGTAGGTTGGTTTTTCTATTTAAGCATTTTTCCCCCTTTTTCAAGGAAGACACTTGGGTTATAATATATTAAGTGGTTCAAATACACGAACTCCAGGGGAAAAGGCCTCTCCAGCCAGCCTTCAACAAACAGAACAGTTGGTCTCCTTGCTTCTTGACTCAGCTTCCCTTTTCTTTTGTTCGCCTCGGAGAGGCTGATAGAGCTTGTTCATACAACTTACTTAAGTAAGTCTATCCAGGCAAAGCTGTGCACAGAAAGGAAAGGGAAAGGAGGACAAAGGGATGGAAAGCCCACAGGAAAAGTTTGTGGGGAAGATTAAATGATTGCCACCCTAAGGGGATTATTTGTTTTCTTTTAAAACTTTAATTCTGTTTCCCATGTATGCCTAGCAGTATCACTCCATTTAAAACTGCTTATGTCATTCCATTTTGGATAGCATCCAAATCAATAAAATATTTAGAGATAAGTTCAACAAAAGAAATGTAAGACTTTTAAGTTAAAAACCACAAAACATGGCGGAAAGCAGTTCCATCAATGAAAGACATCCCCTGTTTTATGGATTAGAAGACTTAGTGCCATGAAGATGGCAATACTATCCAAAGTGATCACAAATTCAGTGTAATTTCTGAAAAAATACCAGCTGCTTTTTGCTTTTATTTTATTTTTAACAAAAATTGGTAAGACAATCTTGGATTCCTATGGAAATGCAAGAAACTCAAGAGTAGCAAAAAACAAAAAAAATTGAAGGAACAAAGTTGGAAGACTCATATTCTGATTTCAAATCTTACTTCAAAGAGCTACAGTGGTGCTCAGCTTTCCATTACTATGACAAAATACATGAGATGAACAATTTTAGATGGGGGAAGGTTTATTTTGACTCCCTGTTTCATAGGTTTCAGTCCCTGGTTATTTGACTCCATTGTTTCTGGACCATGGTGAGTCAGAATCTTCTGGAGTGGAACACGTGGTGGAGCAAAGCTTCTCTCCTCATGGTGGCTGGGAAGCAGAAAAAGCAAAAGAGAAAGGAAGGTGTCTGTACAAAATATAGGCCCTAAAGGCACGCTGCCAGGGACTACTCCCTCCAACCAGGCCACACCTCCTAAATTTCCCCTACCTCCTAATAGTCCATTAAATTGTGGCTCCATCAATGGGTTAATCCACTGATTAAGTTAGAACCTCAGGATCCAATCACTTCCCTAAGGCCCACCTCTGAACATGCTGCATTGGGGACCAAGCCGTTGACATGTGAGCTTTGGGAGGCAATTCAGATCAAAACGACCACGTTTTTGCTGTACTAGCACACAGTAGACACATAGACCAACAGAACAGAATTAGAGCCCAGAAGCAAGCTCTTATGCTCAATTGATTTTAACAAGCAGGCCCACACAATTTAACTGGGGAAATGATAGTCTTTTCAACAGCTGGATCTGGGGTAATTGGATATATACATGCAAATCAGTGAAGTCTGATCCCTACCTCACATCACATACAAAGGTTAACTGAAAATGAACACAAGACATAAATGTAAGGTTTAAAACGATTAACTCTTTGAAGTGCAGATAGGTGTTTATCTTCATGATCTTATGTTAGGCGATTATTTCTTATATATGAGCTCAAAAGTATAAGCTAAGAAAACAAAAATAGCTAAACTGACAAAAAAAATCAAGACAATTGTGCTTTCAAAGCACAGCATCGAGAAAGTGAAAAATTCATTGAAGTTTAAAAAAAAAAAAGAAAAAGAGACAAAGACAACTCACAGTGGGAGACAATTTATATATATCATACATCTGACAAGGAATTTGTTATGAACAGTGCTGCAATCTGGATGTTTGTCCCCTCCCAAACTCATTTTGGAAACTTGACCCTCAAATTCATATGCTAATGATTTGAAGGTGGGACCTCTGGGAGATCCAAGATTAGATGAGGTCATGGCACTGATGCTTATGGCAGTGGCTTTTATGAAAGAAGAAAAAGAAAAACACAAACTAGTACTGTGCTCTCTCTCACCAAGTGACATCCTCTGTCATGTTATAAGGCAGAAAGAAGTCCTCAGAGGCTAAGCAGATGCCAGCACCGTCCCAGCCTCCAGAACCATGAGCCAATATCATAGTCTTTATTTTATTTTAGCAACAGAAAACACTCCATTCAGACAGAATTGTGCTCCCCTCAAATTCATAAGTCAAAACCTTAACCCTCAATGGAACAATAATTGGAGATGAGGTTTTTAAAAAGGTAACTAAGATTAAATGGAGTCATAAAGGAGGCGCCCTAATCCAATAGGACTGGTGTCCTTATAAGAGGAAGAGTCACCCAGCGTGAAGGAAAGGTCAAATGAGGAGACAGCAAGAAGGCACCATCTGCAAGCCAAGGAGAAAGCTCTCACCAGACACCAACCTGCCAGTACCTTGACCTTGTACTTCCAGCCTCCAGAACTGTGAGAAAACAAAATTCTGTTATTTCAGCTACCCATAGTGTTATTTTGTTGTGGAAGCCTGAGTAGACTAATACATACTTGTATCTAGAGTACATTAAAAAAACTATTAAAACACAAAAATAAAAAGACAAAGCAATTTAAAAAATGAAAAAATGGTATGAGTAGTGTTTCAAAGATATATGAATGGCTAATAAACACTTGAAACTCGCTCAACATCATTGGCTGTTAGGAAGATGTAAATCAGAATCATAATGACATGCCACTTCATATCAACGCTGATGGCTGTATTCAAGAAGACAAAAACGAGTGCTAGTAAGACTGTGGAGAAATTGAACCCTCACACACTGCTGGTGGAGATGTAAATAATTCAGCCACCGTGGAAAACAGTATGACAGTTCCTCATAAAGTTAAACATAGATTTTTTGTTTGCTCCAACAATTCCTTTCCTATGTATGTATAGTCAAGAGAAATGAAAACAGTTGTCCATGCAAAATCTAGTGTATGAATGTTCATAGCAGCATTATGCATTATAGCAAAAATAGAAACAAAATCCAAAAGCCTTTGAACTGATGCAAAGACAAAGAAAATGTTATCTCCAGGAAAATCTATAGAAAGCTGAAAGGTGGTCTCCAGCATCTGGGGGTGGGAATGGAAAATGGGAGTAACTGTTAAGGGTACAGAGTTTCTCTTAAAATATTCCATGAAAATGTTCTGGAATTATCAATGGTGATGACTGTACAACTTTGTGCACAGACTAAAAATCTATCAGATTATATAGTTTAGAAGGGTGAATTTAAAGATGTATTAGTAAAACTGTCATTACTTTTAAAGAAAAAGGAAGCTAATACAGACATACAAGTTAAGATTATCTTTAAAATTAAACACAGTAGCCAGATATTGTTTTGTCCCTTAGGTTAAAGTACTTTGGGAAATCACCAGGCCACTTACTGTATGGATCTTCTTCCCTGGTTTCCCCCCTTCCCTGTAGGGTGGGTTCTGTATGATGATGTTCCTTCTAGTCACCCAGCCTGCCTGGAGCTGCAGCCAGAAGATAGCTGTCAGCAAACAGCAGCCCTCCCTTCACCCCTCTCCTGCCCTGAGGAGGACACAGGTCACAAGAGTGTTGGCCTGTGAGTTCTGCTGCTCGATTTCCACCACAGGCCTGAGGGAGGCCGACACTCCTTTCTGTAAAGATTGTACCGTGTTATCTCAACCTCCAAAGAACTCCCATTCAGAGTCGTGTAAGATGTGCATGATTATATGCTTTTGAAGGGGGAAGACTAGGGGAAGCATTTTCCAATATGCCATTGGCTATGTTTTGAATTTTTACCACACTTTATGGACAGAACTGTGTCACATTAAAATTCATATATACAAGTCCCAATCCTAAGCACACCTTGGAATGTGACTATCTTGGGAGATGGGCCTTCAAACAGGTAATGATGGTTGAATGGGTCCCTTATGGGTAGACCTTAATCCAAGAGGACTGGTGTCCTTGCAAGGGGAGAGGCTGAGAGAGTTGCCAGGAAGGAGGGCACAGAGGAAACGTGGGAGGACAGTGAGAAGGCAGAAGCTAAGGAGAGGGCAGGGCCTCATGGAAACCAACCTGCAAGCACCTTGATCTTACACGTCCATCCTCCCGCACTGTGAGGAAATGCATGGCTGCTATTTAAGCTACTTAGTCTCTGATGATTTATTATAGGACCCAAGCAGACTAACACACTTTGGAATGTGATTTGGGGGTTTGGGTTTTTTTATTTACCTCCTGTAAGAATAATTATGGTAGACAGTTGTGGTAGTGCAATCCCAGCTACTCAGGAGGCTGCAGCAGAAAGGATGGCAAGTTCAAGGCCAGCATAGGCAGCTTAGTGAGACCCGTCTCAAAATAGAATTTAACAAGGGCTGGGGATGTAGCTCAGTGGTAGGTAGACTGCTTGTTCAGCTTGTATAAAGGTTGGAAACTTGGCACTGCAAAACAAAACAAAACACACACAAAAATAATGCAGGGAGGAAATGGAGTAACATTCTGTCAATTTTCAAATTCATGGGATGAAGAGGGTTCCTTTTTCTTTTTGTTGCGGTACTGGGGTAATAGTGAAAATTTTCAGTCATGGGATGAAGAAGATGAAGGATTTTTTTTTCTCTTTTCTTTTGTGATAGGAGTGTTCTGCTATTCTCTCTCTCTCTCTCTCTCTCTCTCTCTCTCTATATATATATATATATATATATATATATATATATATTTTTTTTTTTTTTTTTTTTTTAAATTTAGAGACTGGGTCTTAGTTGCTAAGTTTCTCAGGTTGGCCTTGAATTTGCTATCCTCTTGTCTCAGCTTCCCAAGTACCTGGGCTCCTGGGCTCCCAGGCGTGCCCACCGTGTCCAGCTGGGAGAGAGTCTTTTTATTCCTGCTCTCAAGTGCTCCTTCCTCACAGGTTTCCTGCAGCCAGGTCTCTGTGCTCATTCTCTGCATCCTCTTTCCTTGTTCTATCTCTGAGGCTCCAACTCCAGTTGGCCTCTCCTTAGGGAGGATGACTTTTCCACCATTTTTTAAAAATTTAAAATGACATTCCAATCTGGAATGTCATCTCACTGTTTTCTAGGCTCTGAGCAATCACTGCCTCCAAACCTCATTTTGACAAAGGGTCTTGTCTTATTACCATTTGTTGTTAGCCGGTGAAGGCTGGGCTCCTTTGAGTTTAGACGGCTCTCTCTAGAAACATTTTTTTTTTTTTGATTGACTGAGTCTACTATCCATTTCCTTATTTATACATACTCTGTAAAATTCTTTAAAACACTTTAAATGTAACCAAGTAGTACATAATTTTATAATATATGTTGTTCTTTAAACTTAAAATGAAAAACAACCCCTGATCCATCCTGTCCCCCCACCTCATGCCTGTCCTACAGTCTCTAATTCTTTTTGCACTTTCTTGTGCTATGTACCTTCCTGTTTCTAAACAATATACTTCTGTTACTGATGCTTAATTTTCAGTGATCCAATGTAAGATTAACTTCATTATAAAGTGTGAGGATTTATTTATTTATTTTTTAAATTTTAACTGTATTGGAGACTAAACCTAGGACCTCCCACTTACTAAGCACAAACTCTTATTTGGAGCTACGCCCCCAGCCAGAGGATTGGGTTTAGTTTTCCAACTCTTATCCTTCCCTCAAACCATAGAATAACCCCCCCCCCCTTCTTCCACTATAGCAATATAAGAGCATTTAGTTAAAACCAACATTCAGTGATTTGGTTATTTTGCTTAAATTAATACTGTTCACAGATAGGCCGGATCTATATATTAGGACTGCACATTTCTCTCCTTGTAAAGCTTAGTTCTCCTTGGTGTTGAGCATTCCTCATTTAAAGTTTTGTTTAATTATCTCACCATTCAGCCCAAGTTCTTTCTCTAACATTGCCAGAGCTGTCAAGTTCCTCTCAAGGCTATTTCTCTCAATCAGATAAAGTCTCAAGCTGCTGGTTCCCCTGATGCCTCAGACTTCCTGTCTCACACTAGATCTCGAGCTTTCTAGACCCTTTGCATGGCCTGGATCCTTGCTGAGGGAGTTCCCTTTGAGTCATGTTCTTTAGTATTTTCTGAGAAAGTATATTTGGAAAGTTTTTGAAATATCAGAAAATGTCTTCATGCTACTCTCATTCTTGATTAATAGTTTGGGTCTAAAATTGTTTAAAATATTCTCCCTCATGCTTTTGAAGGTTTCGTTCCTCTGCCTTCTAGTTTCAGTGTTTTCTTGACAAGTTGAACGTTGATCTGGTTTCTAATCTTTTGTTTGTGATGTTTCCCTTCTTCTCTCAGGAAGGGCTTAGGATCTGCTTTCTATCCTGGGTGCTCTAAAATAGCATGAGCATCCGCCTCAGCATGGGCCTCTTTTTGTTCAGTCTCTTCAAATTGAGACCTCAAAGTTCATTTTTCACTGAAAGTGGGCCCTTGTAATGTGGAGACTCGAATTCTCTAGTTCTTGGAAATCATGTGCTTTTTATTTGTTTTACATTATTGTACTTTTATCCCTTCTCCTTTGTCTGTTATTTCTTTACAAACTATTTGTCAGATGTACAGTCATTTAGACCAACTCCTTGTCTTCTCCCTCCTTCTTTCTGTCTCTTTATTTTTTTCTTATCTTGGCTTCTTCTCATCCTACCTCCTGGGAAATTATCGGCAACCTCAGGCTCCAGCCCTTCTACTGACCTTTTCATTTTTGCAATTATTATTATTATTTTTAATTTCCTTGTTTCTGTTCCACTTTTTAAAAAACACTCTCCGGTCGTTGTGTAAAATGCATTATTTTGCTCATCCTTCTCTGAGAACTCTCATTATAGATTCTTAAAAAGCTCCCATCTGCTTCTTGCATTGTCTCTTTTTATTTTTCCATTGTCTTCTGCTTGTTTGCTTGTTTCTTTGTTTTGTTGTCTGTCTTTCATAAAAAGTCATTTTCCAAGAATCTGAGATACTCTGTGGCCCATTCATATTTCTAAATAAATCGCTACAAAGTAGTTTCAGGTCCTAGGTTCATGCTGGATGGTTTTTGACCTTGTCCCCTCACTGGGGGGACAAGGCAGAGAGCTGGCTTTTTCACAGAAGTAAGCCTAAATGTTAGTCTGCATAGGCCTTTTTTCTTGAAGTAGGCACTTTCTTTACTTTCCTGATGATGCACGTGAGGAAAGGACCCTAAGGTGTCTCTTAAACATCCAGCCAACACTCCTTATTTTCACTCATGTCTCACCTGTGCCTTTAGAGGAAACAGGGGATGGTCAGAGCTGATTGCCACGACTTTCCTCCTCAGTTTTGTGCGATGACAGACCTCCCAAGTCTCTTTAGACCTGTGATTTTTTCACCCTCTAGACCATTTCTATCCCATTCCAGTTCTAAAATGTTATTGCTATCTAGCTTGCTGTTTTCCACCCTCTTGTTCCCTTTCTTTTTGCAAATTTATATCCTTTTAATACCATCTGCTTTCATTTTCATCAAGTTTTGGGAGAGAGAATAAATGCCTGAGTTCTATACACTTTATTTAACCTAAAGTCTTCTTAATTTTTAAATTACTGAGTTAAATTCAGCCTCAAATGTTCTTACTTATAAATTCTAGGAGGATTAAGATTCTCTTTTCTCCATATTCACCACCCTCTAATACACACTGCCCCCCTCCCATTCTAAAAACAACAATTATAATTCAGAGAGTTTCTGGATCTTCCGTGCTGGCCGCTCCATCTTTTCAGATGTCCCATCAGGGTTTAGGACTCTGTCACAATGCAAAAAGTTAGTTTAACCAAATTCTAACGTGTATCTTCTTCAGAGTCTACACTAAGGTGAGCAATCCAGCACAATGCTGGTGTTTATCAAATTTAAAAGACATGCTGATCAGTATCACAGAGCTAATAGTTATGTGAGCTCCAACTGGGAGACTCGAGGGTTACAACTAGCCTTCTGTGGCTGTGGAGTAACTGAAGTGCGGCTAATGTGGAGGCAAAACTGAGTTAACATTTCAGTTATAGCCTTGCATCCATTCATGACAGGGATGTGTTCTGGGAAATGCGTCACTCAGCAATTTTATTGTTGAATGAATATTGTAGAATGTATTTCCCCAAATCTAGTTGGGATGGGTCAACCAGTCACCAAGATCTCTTGATACAGTCAGTGATGAAATTCAAAGGCAGAGTAAGTACAAGATGCATGAAATTGCTGTGGGAAGAACACGGTAAACCTTTTAATTGATCAAGACACTTTTTTTAAATAAGTAGGTGTGTTGTAATAATAAATTATCTAAAATAACAATAAAAATACATAGACCAGTAACATAGTTGTTTCTTAGCATTATCAAGCATTCTGTCCTGTACATTATTGTATGTGCTGTACTTTTGTACAACTGCAGCACAGTGGGTGTGTTCATACCAGTGTCCCCATAAACATGTGGGTTATGTGTTGTTACTGCTTTACAATGGTTGTGATGTTACCAGGTCATAGGAATTTTCAGCTGTTTAAAATCTTATGGGACCACCATTATATATGTGGTATTGTTGACCTAAATGTTGTTAGGCATAAATGTTATGTTATCATTTAAACTGAATTCTGAATGACCACACATAGTGACTAACATATTGAACAATAGAGCTCTAGAGGCTCACAGACATTTTCTCTGTCTTCATTTTATAGTATTTCCTCTGACATGAAGAGAATTAAACATTTCAGCTTGTTTCCAATGAAGCAATGTACTACATGCATAAACCACATATGTAACAATATAATTGGGACATGAGTGTTTTGCACAGATGGGTGACATTAGGGGGTAGATTAAATATAGGATAACACATACTTGAAATAAAATTTGGAAGGAAAACGTATATTAAGGCCAATAGCTGTGAAGAAGTGTAAGAAGGAGGAACACAATGTATGTTGTTGAATAAGATCAGCTGTCACACAGGACAAGAGGAAGTCCCATTCTTATTGACCCAGTGCTGGCTGAATACTCAAAGAAAATATTTCTAAGTCAAAGTCTGAAAGAATATGTAGCTTGTACCTTAGGAAGATTCCAGTTTATGAAGATCCTTCTAATTGATCAGAATTCTTTCCTTCCTTCCTTCCTTCCTTCCTTCCTTCCTTCCTTCCTTCCTTCCTTCCTTCCTTCCTTTCTTTCTTTTTACATAAAATGCTCTGTGGTAGAACAATTGCCTAGCATGCATGAGGCTCTGAGTTCTGTCCCCAGCACTGCAAAAAATGGAAATAAAACAAAATGGAATGCAGATTTTTGTACCAGCTGTCGATCAGTCACCTTTCAGAGTTAATGCGAGAACATTTCAATCTTTTGTCCTTTGGCTCAGTACTCCTGTGGTGTAAATGAGAGAGTCACCTGTTTGTTTGGTTTTTTAACCTTTATTTTATTTAGTTATTTATTTTTTATGTGGTGCTAAGGCTGAACCCAGGGCCTCACCCATGCTAGGCAAGTTCTCTACCACTGAGCCCCAGCCCCAGCCCTGGGTCACTTGTTTTGTGGGGGTTATTAGTACAGATTCTCTGTCTTGTAAAGAAATCAAACAAACTGGTTATAATGCAGGGGAAGCATCTGGAATAGGACATGGCTCATTAGTATATTTCCTATCTAATTCTCCCTGGCACATGTAACAAACTCACAATCATTGTATATAATTTCTCAGATTCTATTTTTTTTTTAAGATGCAATAGGAACTAACAAGAAAACACAAGATTTGCTTTCCCCTCCCTTCTCCCAGAGCTTATTTCTTCAGGGAGAAGAGCCTGGTCCATGTGGAACTGTGCGGGCTTTGGGAAAGGAATTTCTTTCTTCCTGTTATTTTTTTTTCTTTTTGTAACTTGGAATTGAACCAAAGGGTGTTCCACCACTGAACTACATTCCCAACCTCCCAACCTTTTGTTTTGTTTTGTTTTGAGGCAGTCTTGCTAAGTGCCAAGGCTGGCCTGGAACTTGTGATCCTCCTGGTTCAGCCTCCTGAATCACTAGAATTATAGGTGTGTACTTGGGAGAGGGATTTCTGAGGAGTTGGATACCAGCTGTACTTTTGTTAGATGCTTGTAAATCATTAACATTTTTATATAAATCCAGAGATAAGGAAATACAAACAAAGGTCAGATAAATTGCCCTAGATCATAAAGGGATCAGAACACTGTCCCTATAAAGTGGATGTCAGGGGACCTTTCTACTATATCCACCCCTGGTGGGTGCTTTCAATGGCTGAATTAACTAAGCCACAGACACAGAGGGCCCCAGTGATTTATATAAGGAAGAGAGTGGTTGTTGTGTTGGCTATAATTTGCCTTAAAATTCTTTAATGAAGGATATAGGTGATATATGCATCTGATAGTTGATTTTAAGCATAGAGAGAGTGCCAGATACTGTAATCTTAATCATGAATACACATTCTAGGGCTAGCTAGGCACATAAAATCACCTACAATCCAGCTGCCTTTTTTTCCAGTCAACAATAAAGATTTAGTTAATTAGACTAAATTGAAGAGCAAAGTGTGTGTGTGTGTGTGTGTGTATAAGAGAGAGAGAGAGAGAGAGAGAGAGAGAGAGAGAGAGAGAGAGAGAGAGAGAGCGATAGATATATGCTGGTGATCAAACCCAGGGCCTTGTGCATTCTAGGCAAGTGCTCTTCTATGGAGCCACTACCCAAGCCCTAGAAAAGCAATTCTATTGGTGAAATTCATTATTTTCAAGAAAGTGAGCTGGCTAACATTGATAAAAGCTTTCAGCTCTCACCATCTGGATGGTATCTAAGGCCTGACTTCAATGGTGGTATGTCCAGTTTCCTGCTCAGGATTCTGATGGCCTGATCAGTTTACTTTTAGGATGCAATTATATTTTTGTTTTGAGAAAACATTTAATGCAAGGTATGGTCTGAGACCTGAGCTCTCAGAAGTTCGATGTAGGACCACACCTGGGATTTCTTCTTAATAAATGTTTAATACATGCTTGAGTGTATAGCAAAACTTGGTCTGTGATGCTTCCATTTGAAAAATGACCTCTCTTTATGGAATATGGGGAGGGGAGACCTAGGGTCTTCATCTATCTCATTTGGTGGCCAAATGAGCTAAGGTCTATTTGCAAGAGTGGTTCAGTGTGGATAGGTGTGATAGTCAGCTCTGCATTGATGTGACCAAAATATCTGGCAAGAACAACTTTTAGGAGGAAAAGATTATTTTGGCTCATGGTTTCAGAGGTTCAGTCCATGGTGGGCTGACTCCATTGCTCTAGGCCTAAGATGAAGTAGAACATCATGGCGAAAGGTGATGGAGGAGTCCTGCTCTGTTCATGGTGGCTAGGAAGCAGAGAGAGAGGGAGAGACAGACAGACAGACAGGCAAGTGGGGAGGGGCCTGCAGGAAATATGAAACCTTTCAGAGTACTCCCCCAGTGACCCGCACAGTCCAGCCATGCCCCACCTGCCCACAGCTATCATCCAGTCAGTCCATTCAGCTATAGCTCCCATAATCTAATCCTGTCACCTCCTGTAATAACACAAGACCTTTGATGGACACCTCATCTCCAAACCACAATAGGTCATCATCTATGACTCACCATCCTCCTTTCCTGGGTGCTTGCCTCTTCCTGTGCTTGGGAGGATGCCAGGACAAGTCCTTCAATTCTCGTGATCCCAAAACTATTTCAGAATTGCGGGCAGGGGTGAGACATGTCACAGGCGTGCTCAGGGTTAGGACTGGAAAAACCCAGAAGAGAGTGTAACAGCTACTGTTTAGTACACGTACCTAGGACAAGCCTGTAGCAGGCGTGTAGGCCTAGGTTACCTCTTAAAGCCTTGTATGTCTCCGTGAGACACATATCAGTGAGGAAAGTGAAACAGTAAGCGGTTAAGAGATTTGTGTGTGCTCGTACGACTGGGAACTAGGGAAAGCGGAATTTTGAATTCAGATCTGCCTTCTGTGAAGTCCATGCTGTTTGGCTCTAGATGATGATGATGGTGGCAATGGCAGCAGTGGCAGGGACAGCTCTCATCTTTATTGGAAGTAATGCTAAGTGAAGCAAGTGTGACGCCACTCTGCTTCCATGAATAGACTGAAATTGACTTAAGGCATGTGTCCACGGAAAACACTTTGCTTTGGGACTAAGGAAAGCTCAGGAGCAAGCATGATATGGGTTATTGGCAAGTTAATTAAACTTTTCTAAGGTGCCTGAGTTTTCTCACCTATAAAGTGGGACCAGTTTTGCTTTCCTTCTAAGTTTATCATGAAAAACAAATGACATGTCTTTTGAAAATACAGCCAGCACTGTGCTTGGTGTGTAGCTCTGCTCCCTTGGGGAATATTCCCCTAGTAAGATGGGACACCAGGAACCAGGATTGATTCTTTTTTCAATCCTAGAAACTTCTCCCACTGCCAGCCTGTTGAACACACTCAGAGAATGTTTCTTGGCTTAACTAGTCCTGAAAAACTTGTCATCCTATTCCTGGGCTGCTTGTGACTGATTTTGTGCCCTCAGGATGGGAGGCACTGTGGCAGAATGTGTGACTAGACGGGGTGGCTTCACGGCAAGTGCCTTCACTGGGGCACAGGACTGTAGAGGCAGGGACAGGAATAGAACCCATATCCTGGATCTCTGGGCTTCCCTTCACAGCACCTACTTTATAAGAGGAAACACAAAGTGAGGATTTGGAGAAGTAATAAAGCTGGAAATGTGAGCAAAAGACAAGCCAAGAAGGAGAACTTGAAAGCTGTTTCGTAAAGGAAAACAGTCTTTTCAAAAGCATATATTATTGTAAAGTTTAAAAAAAAAGTTGGGGGCTGGGATTGTGGCTCAGAGGTAGATGCGTGCCTAGCATGCATGGGGCATTGAGTTCGATCCTCAGCACCACATAAAGCAAATTAAGGACATTGTGTCCACACACATACACACATACTGCCTGTAATCCCAGCGACTCAGCAAGCTGAGGCTGGAGGATCACAAGTTTGCGGCTACCTTCAGCAACTTAGGGAGTCCCTGTCTCAAAATAAAGAATAAAAAGGGCTGGATATATATATATATATATATATATATATATATATATATATATATTGTATATATATATACAGATATTATATATATACAGATATTATATATATATACACAGATATTATATATATATGCACAGATTACAGGTGTGTATATATATATGCACAGATATTATATATATATATGCACAGATTACAGGTGTGTATATATATATATGCACATATATATATATATATATATATGCACACCTGTAATCCCAGCAATTTGGGAGGCTGAGGCAGGAGGATCCCAAGTTCAAAGCCAGCCTCAGCAACTTGAGAGGCCCTGAGCAACTTAGTGAGACCCTGTCTCAAAAAAAAAAAAAAAAAAGTTAAATTAATGTAAAACTGAAAACAACTTCATTTAGTAACTAATTCAAAATGAATGAAAGTCTGCAGATAACAGAAGTGACAATTTTGGTAAGAACTGATCAGTGTTACTTAGGAACAGAAAACAGAAATGTCTTACAATTTCCCTCTTGCTTTGGGCCTACTATTCTCAGAATACTCAGGTTTTGTTGCCCATTTCTAGCTCCTTTTCATTTTTCCTGCTTTGTAGGTGTGAAGGGAAGGGCAAGGGGCAGGCTGGGCCTTGTGGCAGGGACCTGAGCCAGGGCTGTTGGTCTAGGAGAGGGATCCCAGGCCAGTGCCACCCCTGAGTACAAGCCAGAGTCACACAGATAGCATTGTATGGCACAGTTCCTCCTTTCTGTGAGAAGAGGGTTTTTTCATTGTGGTAATTAGTATTTTTTTCTTATTTATTTTAATACTTATTTTAATTATGCAAATCTATAAGATATTATAATTTGATACACATATACAGTATGTAATGATCAAATCTTAAACATTTTAAGTCAATTTCTTTTTTTTTTTAAAGAGAGAGTGAGAGAGGGGGAGAGAGAGAGAGAGAGAGAGAGAGAGAGAAAGAGAGAGAGAGAGAATTTTAATATTTATTTTTTAGTTTTCGGCGGACACAACATCTTTGTTTGTATGTGGTGCTGAGGATCGAACCCGGGCCACATGCATGCCAGGCGAGTGCGCTACCGCTTGAGCCACATCCCCAGCCCCTTAAGTCAATTTCTTTTAAAACATTTCTTAGTTGTTGATGTACATAATATCTTTATTTATATTTATTTATTTTATTTTTATGTGGTGCTGAGGATCGAACCCAGGGCCTCACGCATACAAGGCAAGCGTTCTACTGCTGAGTCACAACTCCAGGCCATTTTAGGTCAATTGTAATCAACAAATAATAATTGTACATATTTATGGGGTGTGATATTTTAATACATGTATACAGTAGGTACAGATCAAATTGAGGTAATTAATGCATCCATTTTTATTTTTTTTGGTACAGGGATTGAACCCAGGGACAATTTAACCACTGAGCCATATCTCCAGCCCTTTTTATTCTTTATTTTGAGACGGGGACTCCCTACGTTGCTGAAGGTAGCCACGAACTTGTGATCCTCCAGCCTCAGCTTGCTGAGTCGCTGGGATTACAGGCATGAGCCACCCTTCCCAGTGCTTTTCCATCCCTTTATCATTACTTTGTATTTGGAGCCTTTGAGCTCCTCTGAAAAGAGATTTTTGAGGTTTCTCACCAAACCCATGGGCATTTCAGCCAGTCCCCACCAGCTCCGTTCATGGTACCACAAACCTGTGGTGGTTATGAAGTTTTTGTTTTGTTTTGTGATGCTGAGGATTGAAACCAGGGCCTTACACATGTTAGACAAGTATTTTATCACTGAGCTACATCCTTAGCCTTTTTATTTTTATTTTTTTGGTACCAGGGATTGAATTCAGGGGCACTCAACCACTGAGCCACATCCCCAGCCCTACTTTGCATTTTATTTACAGACAGGGTCTCACTGAGTTGCTAAGCGCCTCGCTTTTGCTGAGGCTGGCTTTGAACTCATGATCCTCCTGCCTCAGCTTCCTGAGCCACTGGGATTACAGGCCCTTTTTATTTTTTTATTTTGAGGTAGGGCCTCACTAAATTGCTGAGGCTGGCCTTGAACTTACAATCCTTCTGCTTCAGCCTCCTGAATAGCTGTGATTGCAAACATGTGCCATGGTTGTGAAGTTTTGAATGGTGGTGTGCTATCTTTGACTGTTCGTGTCCCTACATTCAGCTTGCTGTGTCCGTTGCCCCTGTGATTGTTCTCAGATTGCCACAGGGATAGATGTGTCCTAAACATGACTGCTTCTCTAGATGTGCCTCACCAATGGCTTCAGGCTAAGGACTAGCATCTTTTCTTGCCTCAGGGTATAAGTTCAGTGGAGCATTTTTGTCCAGGGTAGGAGGGGGAAAGTATCTTTGAAGGTCCTTTACTTTTTTAACTTCTCTCTGCTTTTTCTACCTTTCAACTACAGTGAAATAATTTCAGCATCCTGACAACCCTGTGCCCCTTTGTACTGCTTCAGTATGATTTTCAAAGAGTTGAAAATGTGGCTGTCATTGTAAATATAAAATGAACATGGGGGCTGGGGATGTGGCTCAAGCGGTAGCGCGCTCGCCTGGCAATGCGTGCGGCCAGGGTTCGATCCTCAGCACCACATACAAACAAAGATGTTGTGGCCGCCGAAAAGTAAAAAAATAAATAAATATTAAAAAATTCTCTCTCTCTCTCTTAAAAAAAAAAATTAACATGGGCCAGAGATTTTTTTCAGCTCCTTCATTGATAAGGAAATCAGTAATGTGTTAAGATTAATTCGAAGGAGAATATAAAGAACAGATATATAGGCATAAATGTGGATATTATAATACATTTATTATAATAATCATTTAATTTATGTAATATTATTTTATATTATACATAAATTTTACATCTATAATTATAGTAATTTAAGAATATTAATATTCTAATCATATCAGGGGTGTCAATATGGACCAAAGTTACTGGCATTGCTTTAGACAAGAATCATTTCCATTACCATCTGTTTTTAACAAGTTACCTTCTAATGTGTTCAGTAGTTTTCAGCATGTTCACAGTATATTCATAAGCACCACCACATTTTTCCAAAATATTTTCATCACCCTGGTATGTAATACAATAAATTATGGATGATTATATGCATATTTGTAAATATCACTGAATCCAATCTTACATTTCATCCTTCTTGGTCGAACACTCTAGAATTTAATCCCCTACTCAATCCTCAGCTGCCTCCCAACACATGTGGGCAACATTTTCCAACTGGCTCAGGATATGATCTGCTTCTACTTCCCCATCCCCTGACTGTCCTTCAGTCCTGCTGTGGGCTCTGCTGGGAGTTTCCTTTCATGGTGGTCCTGGGGTTGGTGAGGTACACGGGGGAAGGTCTGGAGAATAGGCATTCACGTGAAGGCCCTGGTGAAGTCGCCTGAGGTTTTCATGTAAGTGAAGGCAAATTTCCTCCTGTGGTGAGAAAAGGCTACTTTGTAGGCAAGGGAAGCTTGGGATTTGGATCTGACCAAATGGTCTCTTCACAAGCCTAGTGTCCTACTCCTTCCCAATCAGGGTCCCCATCTTAGCCAAGGAACTTGCTAAGGTTGAGCAGGTCACCTCTGCAACAGTTCTGTCACCTGCACAATTATGTTTAGGATCTGAAGAAGACTTGTCTGTCCTCTGGTTATACAGACAAGGGATTCTTTGAATTTTGCCATATGGAGACCTTGAAATGGGAATTTAATTGTTCATGCTCATTTGTTTTTTTATAATTCTCCCAGGGCACACAGAAACAGCCATCTAATTCTACAATCTGTTGTGATCATTTCCGTTGCCACAGAAATCATGTTTAACACCAGCAAGAGCCCCAAATCCTTGTCCTCCTTCCTCTCCTCTGCTACCATCAGTACTAATTTGAGTCCTCCTGCTGCTGCTGAGTGGCATGGGTTACTAGCCTTCCTTCTGTTCCCTACACATGCACAGATCTGTGCATAACCCAGCCAGAATTCCACAATGAGGAACTGTGGTCACTCTTGGTATCAGCCAGGGTGGGCAACAAACAGAATCTGCCTCTGAATGTTGGAATAAATGTGCTGCTGAACAGCTATGGGCAGGATTTGGGAAGCATCTGTATTCATTTGCTGGGATGGCCATATAGAAGTTCCACAAACTAGGTGGTTTAAACACAGAAAGAGTGTTGGAAGGGGCTGAGATCCAGGCTGGTTCCTTCTGAGGATGCTAGGCAAGGACTGCTCCAGATCTTTCTCTTAGCTTCTGGTACTTTTTTGGCATAACCCCAGTCTTCTTGTGGCATTCTCCCTGTGAGTCTGGCTGTTCAAATTTCCCCTTTTTGCAAGGATACCTATCTTATTGAATTAAAATTCGCCCTAATAATCTCATTTTAAACTAATTACATCTGCAGTGACTATATTTCCAATTATGTCACATTCTGAGTTACTGGGATTTAGGACTTCCACATATGGATTTGGGGGGGACAAAATACAATTCATTACACCATCAAGGGGTGATGAGCACGCAGAAATAACTCACAATAGGAAGTTGTTGGCACCTGTGTTGGATGTTCTCCATCACCTCCTCCAGCTACCCTCTCCGACTTTCTCCACCTTGCTCTGTGCTGGGAAGCTGACGTCTGAAACCTGACCTCCCAGAAGTCTGATTTGGGTAATGTGAGACATAGGTAGGAGCTTTGGGGGTGGGAAGGGAGAAGCCAGGCTGTAGTACCCCGTAGTGCCCTTCCCATCCCCTCGCAACACTTTTCATATTCCTGTGTCTCCATGATTCTTTCCTACTTAATATTGGGCAGGTAAAAGCTTAATAATGTTTAAAACACGGGTGAATGTGTGTAGATTGTGTCAGGAGCACATTCAGTAGTACTAGCTGATGCTCATGAGAGCTTGCAGTGTGTCTTGTCTGTGCTGTTATAACAGAAAACCACAGACTGGGGGATTTACAAAGAACAGAAATTTTATTTGGTATTGGAAGCTGAGACATCCAAGAGCATGGCACCAGCATCTGGAGAGGGCCTTCATGCTGTGTCATCCCTGGTACAGGGCAGAAGGGCAAGAGAGGGAGAGCAGGAGACAGGGACAAATTTGCTTTTATAATAAAGCTTCTCTTGTGATAACTAACACACTCCTGAGATAATGACATTAATCCATTCATCCATTAATTCAATCCATTCCTAAGAAGAGGTGACCTAATAACCTCTTAAAGGTCCCACCTCTCAACACTATTCCATTGGGGACTAAGTTCCTAACCCGTGACCTTTGGAGATATAGTCAAACCATAGCATTATATATTCCAAGTGCTTAAGTATATACTACTCTGCATAGTTATACAAGGGAGGTGCTGTAAGTATTCCAATTCTGTGACTGCATAAACTGAGGTTCACTGGGATTTCTATCTTGCCCAAGGTCAAGGTCACACAGCTAACTAGCAGCAAGTTTGGGATTTGATGTAGGGCTGCCAGCCTGCACAGGCTGCCCAAAACCACAATGCCATATTTGTCGATCTGTTCCCATCTAGCAATGGTGGTTCTGTGGAGCTTTCTCGGTCCCCTTCCTCAGGAGCTCGCCATTCACACTGTGTGTTCTCACTCCTTCCTGGATATGTGGCTTTTGATTTCTACTACACCTTTCTGCATCTGTTTCCCTACCTGTGAGTTCTTTAGGGCAGGCCCATCTCCCATTTATTTCTGCAACTTCAGGGCCTAGAAGGATATTGGAGAGTGGCAGGTGCCAGAGAATATTTCTGGAAGGAATATTTTCTTGTCATCCCTGACTGTTGTGTACACCTTTGTGTACCCTAGGCCCCTGATTATATCTGACTCCCTTAGTTTTTTTCCCCCCAGAGGAAATTTGTCTGTGGCTGGTCAGTCCTTGACCACTGGCTTCTCTGCTGCCCAGGTGAGTGGTCTTGACTGTTCCCTTTCCCGCAGGGCTCTCTATCAAATCTGATCAGGGTTTCTGCTTCTTTTTATTTTTCCTTTTGGTACCAGGGATTGAACCAGGGGCTTTCAACCACTGAGCCACATCATCAGCCCATTTTATTTTATTTTTTTAAATTTTGAGACAGGGTCTAGCTAAGTTGCTAAGGCTGTATTTGAACTTGTGATCCTCCTGCCTCAGCCTCTCACACTACTGGGATTATAGTCATGGACACCCCACTCAACTACTCAGGGTTTCTGAGGTGATCCTTTTGGTCCTCTGCAAACAGGTTCCTAGGCTTTTTTTTTTTTTTTTTGTGGTGCTAGGGATTTAACCCAGGGCCTTGTGCATGCAAGGCAGGCACTCTACCTACCACCTGAGCTATATCCCCAGCCCAGTTCCTAGGCTTTTGTAAAGGTTCCATTTGGTCTTCGGTGTCCTGTAAGGATTTCACTAACACTTTTAAGTTCTGTCCTAGTTAACAGTCACACTGTAAGGGATACCTTTGTTAAAACTGAGGTGCTGGGATATTCCGATAGACTTTTTCTTTGCCTCTTTGGCTAGGGTGTTGGATTTAACTGCTTCCCTGTGGAGATTGCTCTGAGCACCACCCGCCCTTCATGTTCAAGGACAGTTATGTGTCTTTGTCTAAAATAGCCTTGAGAAAATACTCATTTTAAATGTTTTTATTAGTACATTATACTTATTCATAATAGTGGGGTGGTGACATATTCATAGATGCATATGACATAATTTTGTTCCATTTCAATCCCCAGTACTGGCCCTTTCCCTCCCTATCCCCTTCCTCTATGCTACTGATTTTCCTTCCATTTATTTATTGTTTTTTAATTGCTGCATTACAGTTATATATAAAAGTGAAATTTGCTGTGATATAGTCACGCATGCATACAGCATAGTTTGGTCCATTTTGTTCCACAGTTCCACCCTCTAATCCCTCCTCCATTCCCCTTGATCCCTCTCCTCTACCCACTATTCTCCCTTCTGTTTTCATGGGATTCCCCCCTTCTTAAATTTCCTCATTCCTCTCTAGCTTCTGCCTATGAGAAAAAACATTCTAGCCTTGACTTTCTGAATTTTGTTCATTTCACTTAACAAATTCTCCAGTTTCATCCATTTACCAGCAAATGACATAATTTCATTCTTCTTCATGGCTGAGTAAAACTCCACAGTGTACATATAACGTATTTTCATTATTCATTCATTTGTTGATGGGCACCTGGGCTGTTCTTCGATTTGACTATTGTGCATGCTCTGCAAATATTGACCTATCACTACAGAATGCTAATTTTAGTTCTTTTGGATAAATACAAGGAGTAAGATACCTGGGTCATATGGTGGTTCCATTCCTAATCTTTTGAAGATTCTCCACAGTGTTTTCTAAAGGGGTTGCACTAATTTGCAATCCCACCAACAATGTACATTTCCCATCCACCTCCTTGCTAGCATTTATTATTATTTGTATTGTTGATGATTGCTATTCTGACTGGAGTGAGATGAAATTTCAGTGACGTTTTGATTTGCATTTCCCTGATTGTTAGGGACTTTGAACATTTTTTCATATATTTGTTGGCCCTTTATATTTCTTCTTTTGAGAAATGTCTGTTTAGATCTTTTGCCCATCTACTAATTGGGTTATTTGTTTTTGGGTGTGTGTGTGTGTGTGTGTGTGTGTGTGTGTGTGTTTAGTTCTTTATACATTTTTGCATATTAATCCCTTGTCAGAAGAGTAGATGGCAAAATTTTCTCCCATTCTATAGGCTATCTCTTCCTGCTCTTGTTTCCTTTGCCATGCAGAAGCTTTTTAATCTGAAGTTATTCTACTTATTGATTCTTGGTTTTATTTCTTGAGTTTTAGGAGTCTTATTAAGGAAGTCAGTGTCTGAGCCAATATGTCCTCACTCTAGGGTTTCTTCTAGCAGTTGCAGTGGTCTAACACTTGCTGCCTTTTCTGCAGCTCCGGCGGTTCCCTTGTGAGAGCCTCACACATGTCTTAGAAGTAATGATATCTGAGTGATGGATATGCCAGTCATTCTGATAGGATCATTGCACGCTCTACACATGTACTGAAATATCATTTAGTGCCTCTTAAATATGAACGAGTATGACGTGTCAATTAAAAAATTGTTTAAAAGTGTGCCGTGTTAAAAAATTCGAACAAATTGTTTTTAATTTTCATGCTATTTTTGGGTGATTTAAACAATGTTATTTGAAACCAAACGTACTTGGGTGTACTGGCCTGCACTCCTGCATTCCGTCCCTCCCAGGACAAACGGCTCTGGGTTGGCCAGCAGGACGTCGTTTCCCCTAGGTCCTTCACACCACTTCGAACCAGGTCGTGGGGGCCGCTCCGCCACCCGAGCTCTTTCCCAGGAGCGGCGGCCCAGGGCCGGAGCGCGGCGCTGCCCAGGCGCTCCTGGCGATCTCGGTGGGGCCTGGAGGGAGGGGACCTGGCAGCGGGATCGGACTTCCTCCCTCCACTCCGGAACTGTGAGCCCGAGCGGCCGGGACGCGGAAACCCGGGAGGCGCCGCGGGAGCCGGCGGGGCGGGGGCGGCGGCGGCCGGGGGCGGGGCCGGCGGCGGGGCTGGGCGGGGCCGGGGGCGGGGCCGCGCGTGGGCTGCGCCGGGTGCGCGGGGCAAGCTGCTCCCGCTGCGCTCTCAGGACTGCGAGTGCTGGGCACCGGCCGGTCTGCGGTCCCCGCGCGCAGCCGCCGCCGCCGCCTCCTCCCGAGCGCTGGGCCCGGTGCGGCCGGTGGCCGCGGCGATGTGAACCGGGGCTCTCGAGCGCGGCCGGATCGCCGCGATGTGGCTCAAGCCCGAGGAGGTGCTGCTGAAGAACGCCCTGAAGCTCTGGGTCACCCAGAAGAGCAGCTGCTACTTCATCCTACAGCGGCGCCGCGGGCACGGCGAGGGGGGCGGTCGCCTCACCGGTAAGGGGCTCGCTGGGGTGGGCCGGGCCCCAGGCCTCGCTCCCTGCCGGGCCCGCAGCTCCCAGCCCGGGGCTGAGTCGCAGGTGGCGATTTCACGGGAGACACCGGGCCAGAACGGCCCTGCCTCGGGTTTGTTTTCCTTTCTTCTGCATTTCTCGTGCAAGCTCCCGAGGAGGTTGAGCCAGAGGGACTCGCGGGCTGGTGCATTTTCCCGGGTGAGGCAGGTGTCTTTGCCACCTGGCCGGGTGAGCACCTGGAAGTCAGACTAGGTTCCAGGAATTGGAGAAGAAACGCCAACTGGAGCTTGGCTACAGGGCGCGCGGGATGGGGGACGGTGGGGGGATGCCCCCTGGGAGGAGAGGGGACTTCTGTGCTGGGTGCCAGGTGACAGCGGGGCCTCAGGGCAGCCTGGACTTGGCCATCTGGACGTGGCTGAGGCTCCAGGTGTTGTCGCGGCCAGGGACTCAAGGCCAGCCCATGGTGAGGCGCAGCTTGGGAGGTCTGGTGTGTGGGCCTGGGACTGTCTCTTCTTGCCTAGGGGAAACTGAGGCAGTGTGATTCCCAAGCTTATGATCTTAGCAAAAATAAGCATAGGTTCCACCCCTTCAGTGTCTTCTGAGGAATGATAGGAAAAACAAAACAAAACAACAAAAACCAAAACCAGACAAAGAAACCTCAGGCTTGTGAAGTTGATGAAAAACAAGGCTTTTTTTTTTTTTTTTTTTTCCTAAAAGTTATGATCCAAAGCTTTTGGAAATTGAGGCCAGCTTGCATTTGCTAGAATGCCTGTTTAAACAGATCAATGAAGGAAAATTCGGTTGTACTTAGGGGACCTATCTGAAATTTTCCAGTTGCAAAATCTGAATAATAGTGACCTTTTGTCACAGCTCTCCTACGGAGAAAAGCAAAGTTGGAAAAGTCAAAGGAACAGGATTGGGTCCCCAGGTTAACTGTTCATGACTCTTGGGCCAGTCTGGGGAAGGCTTTATCCAGGTCTTGTCAAGTAGGGGAAATGGACCAACATGGCAAAACCAAAAGTTCAAGGGGAGTTACCTCTGGTAATTTAAGCTCAGAGAAAGCTGGCAGCTTGTTTTGTTAGAGGAAGGAGACTTGACAGAGACCCCAGGAGTGGGTAGGAGTTGGCAGGATTCTAGGTGGAAGGGGCAGTGGAGGGTTCTGGATGGAAGTGGGGTGAGGCAGTGGGGGATCAGTGGTCCTGGTGGGTAGCAGATGCAGTAGGGCAGGAAGCCATAGGGGCCTGGGAGGGCCTCTGAGCTGCACAGTGGTGCCTAGTACCCTGGCCCTTGGGAAATGGAGCGTGGTGGAGCTTTGCAGGGCCCAGCAGAGGCAAAGAGGCTGGAGAGGGGTTTGTGCCCTGTTCACTGATGGTAGTGTATCTTAATTTATGGTGCCTTAAGTAGGGTACCTGGTTTACAGTAGTCAAGGGTGAGTATAGGGCTTGTAGATTTTCTAAGTAGGAAGCACAGGACGATTGTCCTACACATGCTGGGATTCTGTGTGCTGCTTTAAGAAAGATCTATGAGGGCTGATGAATGAAGGCCTGTCGCCACAAGGTTATCCACATCAGGCAGGCTCTAGATGTGGAGAGCAAAGCTGCTCGTACAGTACCTGGTTGTGCTTTGCTTCAGGCCCTCTTGTTTCTGACTCTGGTGTCCAGGGTCTACCTGTAATGAATTCTGTCTGATATGGACCCCTTGTCCTTGCATTGTCTAACCAGGCAGGTCTCATGTTGTAATAGCCAGGCTTTGGTCTTTTTTGGTTTGAACTTGAACTTGCTGTGAATGTACAGAACATTCTTAAAGGCAACAGTAACTACAACGAGAGAGAGAGAGAGAGAGAGAGAGAGAGAGAGAGAGAGAAGAAGAAGAAGAAGAAGAAGAAGAAGAAGAAGAAGAAGAGGAGGAAGAAGACAACGACAATTTGCTTTATTTTTTAGAGACCCAGAACCTCCTGTTGATTGTGCAAGGATGACATTTCCTATGTAGCCTGATATTGACCTTTGAGCATTTAGCCCTGAGGCAAGTGGCTTGGCTGTGCCAGATGAGCCACCCAGACCTACAGTATCACCATTGTGCTAGTCTTCCTGGGGCCACTTATGGATGCTGTAAAGTCAAGACTGATTGGCCACAGGGCAGCTTCATGTTGGTGGTTTTAGGAAAATGTGGAAATCCAATGTGACAGACTTGGCAACTTAAGAGTTTAAAACTTGGATTTAGTTTATGAAAATAGTGGGAACTGAAGCGAAAACATTGTGACTGATTAGTTTTTGGTTTTGTTTTATTTTTTTCATTGCTGGGGATTGAACATAGCATCTCCAGCAAGCAAGGCAAGCACTCCACCACTGAACTACATTCCCAGTCCTTTTTTATTTTTTGCTGTAAAGTCTCCCTAAATTGTCTGGGTTCTTTGAAGTTGTGATCCTCCTGCCTCATGCTCCTGAGTAGTTAGGATCGTAAGTGTGTGCCTCCATGCTGGGTTACTGTTCTTTGGAGGCGAGCAAATGGAGGGGGCAAAGAAGGGTTGGAAATAAAATGTGAGGGTGCAGTAATCAAAAAGTATATTTTTATTGAAGTGCTAAATTTGCTATCAGGTAGAAGTTTAAACATAAGATCTGGAGTCTACTGTGATATGAATTACCCAACTTCAGAAATATAAGTTTTTGTTTCATTGAGGATTATCACTTGCCGATCTACTTACACACACACACACACACACACACACTCACTATACACCTCTCAGTTTTATTTTTCTCCATAACTTTTTTACTTTCTAACATGTAATATACTTACATATTTTCTCCATAGTTTTTCCAAACTTAATTACCTATTTCTGAGGGCAGGTATTTTATCTATGATTATGCCTAGCATATAACATATGCTGAGTCAACATTTTTCAGGGCTTTTTTTTCTTGTGTGTGTGTGTGTGTGTGTGTGTTTGCTTCTAGGTTGAACCCAATTTTACCCCCCCCCTTTAAAAATTTTAGACAGGGTTTTGTTAAGTTGCTTAGGGCATTGCTAAAGTTGGGGAAGCTGGCTTTGAACTTATGATCTTACTGTCTCATCCTCTTAAATTGCTGGGATTACAGGCATGTGCCAGCACATTTTTATAGGTGCATTATAATTATATATACTAGTGGAATTTGTTGTTACATATTACTACATGCACACAGTATACCAATATAAGTTGATCCATATCGTTCCCCAGTATTTCCCCTTTCAGTGAACACTTGTAGGATGAAGAGATGGATGAATGCATATATAAATGATAGATCCCTCCCACTTTTTTCTTAAAGTTGGATGGGTGCAGAGGCCCAGCTTTTCCAACTGAGGCTGAGCTGATGGAATGGAACAGGAATATCCCCTGTCTCCTCTCTGCTTCCTGTTTACCTGGCAGTCTGACCACTTGGGAAGTGGGAGGGGTGGGGGGTGGGAAACAGAGTCCTTCTCCTCCTCCATCTCTCTCTCTCTCTCTCTCTCTCTTTTTCCCTTGTAGCTCCTGCTTTTGAGGGTGGGGGGAGTATTGTGGGCACTATGGCACTGACTTCTCAGGTGGCCAGGCACAGACAGGCTAACCTTGCCGTCTCTTGGAACCTCTTTCTTTTTCTTTAATTTTTAAAATTTTAATTTTTGGTGCATTGTAGTTATAACCAATAGTAGGGTTCATTTTGACATATTCATAGATGCATAGAACATAGTTTTCTGCATTTCAATCCCCAATACAGTCCTGTTCCCTACCCTTCCTCCATACTATTGGTCTTTTAATTTTTTATATTTATTTATTTATTTGTGGTGCTGGGGATTGAACTCAGGGACTTGTGTGGCTTGAACTCAGGGACTTGTGCACGTGAGGCAAGAACTTTACTAACTGAGCTATATCCCTTGAATTTATTCTTAATTGGTCCATTATAGTCATATATAAAACTGGAATGCCTTGTGATATATTCACACACGTACATAGTGTAATTTGGTCTATGTTATTTCCCAGTTCTTCCCCCTTTTCCTCCCCACCTCCTCATGCTTGGTCCTCTGCTTCTGCTTTACAGCTCTTCCTTGTATTCTTGGGAGATCCCCTTTTTAATTCCTTATTTTGGGGGTGGGGGTGTTGGGGAGGGCAGGAGGAAGACCTGACTGGAAAATGCAGTCTGGGGCTCTGGGCAGTACTGAGGCTGCCACCTCGCCCTCAGGTTGGAGTGTGGTGTGTTCAGTATTATGAGGTGTTTCCAGAGTTCTGCAGACAGAAGCAATTTTGCCCCACAGGTAAGGAAGTACAGTTATCCAGTGTTCACAGTCTCCAGCCCGTGGGAATATTTCTTATAAATGTTCGGTCTGCTCGGAGAGAACAAAGAGAGGGAGAAGTTAGTGTGGGGAGACAGTGGACAGAAAGAACACCCAGGCCACAGCTGTCCCTCCCCCACAGCTCTCTGAAGCCCTTCAAGATGGGATAAGTGTAACTCTAAAGACCAAATATCATTGCTCAGATGTGCCCTTCTGAAGGATTTTATTTTTCAGTGTCCGATTACGTGTATGCCTGATGCCTGTATAA